TACTGAAGTCGAAAATCGAAGCACTTTTACTGCCCCAAAACGTGATTACAGACACAAAAAAAAAAAAACACACACACATCATAGTAAAATCAATACATTCCTCACTCCGCTAAGAATCTAAAATAATAACAAACTAGGATTTATGTGAAATATTAATGTTTTTTATTAATTTATAGAGAATCAGTACCATCGTACTATCAATGGTATTGAATATGATTATGGTAAGTATATATTACTTTGGTAGACAACAGTAAATTATATATTACATACCTTATGGTAACCAGAATAGTTTGTCTTTCCTTCTCCTGGAGAATCACTATATAGTGTTACGGCAAACCCGAGATTCCAAGCCATGAGTTTAATTAGTTGGTTCATACTTTCTTATCCGGTTTTGAGGATTGAACGTCTGTCTAACAACCCGGCCTCTGAAAAATTGCACTTGTTGTGTATTTCCTAACTAAGCCTCGGAACTACGATGATATAAATGGTAAAACTCTGACACTGTCAAAATAATGACACAAAATCCTTTTCGAGTCATTATAGATAGTTATATAAAACAAAATAATGACCAATAAAGTAGTTACAATACGGTAACATAACGGTTACAGTTGTTACGAATCTCCAAGGAGGTCCGTGCACAAATAAAATAACAAATAAATATTTTGGTTAGATATTCGATCTATTGTCAAATATTGAGTTTCATACTTATTTGTATCACGCTAAAGTAATAATTTAAATGTAACTATAAATAATATGTATATTGTAATTACGAATACAAGTACAGAAGAACCTCGATTATCCGAACTAATTGGGACCACACCTAGTTCAGATAATAAAAATAAAAATAAATATTTATACAGRGTATAACAGAAAGACGTGACAAAAAATAAATAAATTATACTAATTAAACGTATGACAAATATTGTTAATACAAAATTCTGTATTGAATACTTAGAAATAAGTATTTAAAAAAGTATTCCGAATAATGTATACGCAATAATACCCAAATCTGACTAATAATAATCTGCAACCGGATATTTTCAGTATTGACGTTTGGATACATGAACTGAAATGAAATAACATWCGGRTAATAGAGGGTTTGTATAACAGAGGTTCGGATAATAGAGGTTCCACTGTATATGGAGCTGATTAGAATGCAACATAAAAACAATAATAATCTGAGATAAATGAAAAGTAAAATTAATTATAATTTATAGAGTCATTAAGAAATTTTCTTAATTTTCCTGATGAG